CTCGGTTCCATGAAGTCGGTTTCGATTGCGTGTAGTTAATGCGTAAAATCCTTATCCGATACGTCGACTGCATGAAGTTGATAACGTCTTCACGCATTAACGCATTAACTGCATGCAGTCGATCTCTGTTCTATGAAGTCGGTTTCGATTGCGTGTAGTTAATACGTAAAGTCCTTATCCGATACCTCGACTGCGATGTAAACGTCTTATTCTTACTCGACGTCGTTAATAATATAATAAATATAATAATAACGCACGCACTCAACATAGCCCCGCACTAGGAAAACCCTGTGTCGCGAGTGCCATGGACACACACATAGACAACCACAAAATCACACCCAAACTCAGGAGAAAAATAAATGTAGGCCATACAAATATTTCTCCCGGCCCGGGAATCGAACCTTCCCAGAGGTGCCGCTCTGCGTGGCAGTCATAGTAATTGCTCAGCCACAGAGGCAATTAAATTACATTTGATAAATTCTTAATTTATGTGCCGATATACCACGTTAAATCTATCATTTTTATCGATTAAGTAGATATCGGTGTTACTGACGTGGCAGAATCTAAGGTAAATTGTATAAATAAATAACAGTGACTAATTCACACGTTATATATATGCATATATAATTAATAGATGTCGGGATTGAGTTTTATATGGCCACCAAATTCCCCGAGTTCGCCTCAAAAGCCGTAAAAGTTTCCTGCGCACCACAAATTCTACTTCATCCAACTTTTTTTTTATAATATTAAGTTACGGGACGAACAAGTCGTGCGCCTGATTGTAAGCTACACGCCTATCCATAACAGTTGCAGTGCCACTCAGAGCTTTAAATCGCAAACATCTAAGGGACACTGCCACTGCACCCGTCACCCTGAGACATAAGTTGACAAGTCCCATACGCCTGTAATTTCACCAGCACCCTTACCATTCAAAAGCGGAACACAGTAATGATGACATGACTGCTTGGTGGCAGAAGCAGGTAGTAGTAGAACTGTCACTAGGTTTCATCATAACTCAAGAGCAACTACCACTAGATTACAAAGTCTTTAAATCGACTTCGCACTCAGATAGGACGCTATATAGATACGATGTGTTAATGAGGTTTCAGGGATGCTAGTCTAACCCAATGTAACTGCAGTGCCCCAACACAGTCCATGCAGCACTTACTGTTGCGCGCCTTGTTTCTGTACCTGTACGAGGGCAGATCACAACGCGGCCACGGACAGCGCAGTCAAGGTAGCAACGTATTATTCAGGGACAATACAGTCCTAAAATAAAGAAGTATCGACACGATAAGAAGAAGACGGGATTGAGTTTCAACATAAAGATTGATAGACGCAAATAAATATCCTAAGACATGTAACTTGATTCAGAGATGAAGGGAATTAAATATTATATATAGAGTATTATAGTCGCAGTAGAGCTCCTTGTGAAAGAATTCGTCATGGGAAGTTGTTTTTTATGATACCAAGTGACACATGTCTGATCAAGTCGTGCACCTGTCCAAAGTAGTTGTAGTGCCACGATCTAAGGCAGAGTTTTTTAACCTTTTTCTATTTATGGATGCTTCTCAAAATTTCAAAGAGCTCACGGACCTTTCCGGAAAGATGAAGAAGAAGAAAGGCTCGCTGGTTGCTTTGACGCGCGACTCGCTCGCTCGTCTCTTGGGTGCGAAAATTCAATAAGGTCACGCGTGCAGTACCTACTTAACCACAAAATATTATATACCAATTTTTATATAATGCATTTGCTATGTTTAGGTAAGGTCACCATAGACATTACAGGGACTACAGATTATAATGACCTCTTAGGGGTCCATGGACCACAGGTTAAGAAACCCTAATCTAAAGGGCAATGTGTCATTGTGCCTGTTACCCTTTTTTTTTTTTTGACAAGTCCTATATGCCTGTAATTTTATCAGCACCCTTACATCGTTTGTGTCGCAGGCTTAATACGACAATTTTTAAAATGTAAAACCAGGATTTTTTGTCATTCCCTGAAATAAAAATAATATTTAATAAATCAGTCTTCTTTATCATTAATTAATCTATTATTGAGTCGAGCCGCCCCGTTAACGACGTGTCTGGTCAAAATTGTAGGAGAGAGAGAGAGTGATTAAAGAACCATTTTTACTAACTACAGAGCGTTTCAAAAAGAAAACAAGGGTCCGCATTAGGCATTAAGGTTTAATAAAATAACGTTAAATAAAAAACAAACGACGATGTAAAGTCATTTACCATTGCATGACTTCTAGCATTCTGAAGTAATGTTTGTGAAAATATGTAGTTTAAATTCCAAAATGTAAACTTAAGGTCTCTCACCTACAGAAATATAAAAAAGACTAATAAACGCCGGACACCGTCTAATACGGCTAGACACGCATCCAAAAAGCCAACTATGTCCGGCTATTATAAAGCTTCTAAAGGCTATACAGCTTCCGCGTACTTGGATGATAAAAATCCGTGGTAGTGACCCGTTTAGCTCTTGCAGTTAGTCTCAATCTATGGTTGCTTGAAATTAATATAGTAAATGACAAATGGTACAAATGTATATCTACAAAGAGCAACCCCTAAAGTTTCT